CTTTTGTGAAAATAAATTTCGTCCGGGTACCAGTGAGTGAGTGGTGGCACTGGGCACAGTATCCACTGTGAGCCTGACACACCCGCTGGCAGACAACTAACTGCTATTCAATCTATAACAGTGAAAAAAGTTTTTTGTTTTTAAATGCAAGCTATTATGACACCAGATATGAGTGGCACTGTTAACTGGCAGAGTACACGCTGTAGGGCTGACACACCCACTTTGAGACAACTAACTGCTATTCAATCTATAACAGTGAAAAAAGTTTTTTGTTTTTAAATGCAAGCTATTGTGACACCAGTGAGTGAGTGGTGGCACTGGGCACAGTATCCACTGTGAGCCTGACACACCCGCTTTAGACAACTAACTGCTATTCAATCTATAACAGTGAAAAAAGTTTTTTGGTTTTTAAATGCAAGCTATTGTGACACCAGTGAGTGAGTGGTGGCACTGGGCACAGTATCCACTGTGAGCCTGACACAGATGCTGGCAGACAACTAACTGCTATTCAATCTATAACAGTGAAAAAAGTTTTTTGTTTTTAAATGCAAGCTATTGTGACACCAGTGAGTGAGTGGTGGCACTGGGCACAGTATCCACTGTGAGCCTGACACAGAAGCTGGCAGGCAGGCAGGCAACTGCAATTACATTACACAAAAAAAAAAAAAAAAAAAAGCAGACTGATGTTCTAGCCCTAAAAAGGGCTTTTTGGGGTGCTGTCCTTACAGCAGAGATCAGATGAGTCCTTCAGGACTGTAGTGGACACTGTATACCCTAACCTAGCTATGCATTTCCCTATCTAATCAACAGCAGCTACACTTTCCCTCCTCTCACTAAGCATGCAGCTTGAGAATGAATGTAAAATGGATGCCTTCCAGTAGGTGGGAGGGTCTGCTAGGGAGGGTGTGCTGCTTATTTGCTGGAATGTGTCTGCTGACTGTGAGGTACAGGGTCAAAGTTTACTCAATGATGATGAATAGGGGCGGATCGAACCGCACATATGTTCACCCGCCGTGGTGAACGCGAACATGCTATGTTCGCCAGGAACTATTCGCCAGCGAACCGTTCGGTGCATCACTAATATACATTCTCATTAATAAAAAAAAAAAAAATAATAATTTCCCCACAGTTTTGGCAATAATAGCATTTGCATAATATGTCCATCTTAGAAAAAGTAATTTAAAATAAATTCAGTTATGTGTCTTGATTTATAGAGTACATCATGTACAGAAAAATTTTTCTTAAAGCTTTTTTTTTTTTTTTTACACAGATTTAACATTTTTATAAGTGTTTGAACGGTTAACCCCTAATTAGCATTAAGCAGCACTAACCGTATATTCCTAGGAGCGTTAACTTTACCGCATGGCAAAACTGTTCCGTCATTCATGGTTTCCCCGCTATGACGCACCAGGTCCATCATGCATCACAAAATGGTTAATATGGCTGCTCCTTTTAAGGTGTGGCATGTCTCTGGAACTCCTGCTGCAGCTCCCACACATATGGGATCCTCTTCCTCCTTGCCACAGCATTCAGAAGTGGATCGACAGGAGAGGCCAGGCATGTGTGTGGGCCGTGGCACACTGAAATGCAGCATGCACTATCTTAATCCTCACACATTCCGTGGAGAAAAAAAAATAAATAAAAAGAAAAAATTAAATATTGTAACACTTAACTGGGATCTTGCAATTAGTATATTGGTATCTTCCTTAAAAGAGAAATTGCATACAGTGTAATATTGTTAATGTTATAAGAGTTTAAGGGAGAAAAATTGGAAAACTCACATATTCCAGAGCTATGATGACCTAGCTCTGGTATGGAATGCTTGTAGGTCCGTTATGGGCAACCTCCCCCCCCCCCCTTTATTCCAGTACTGGTAAATGTCCAACGTTACAAGTTTAGAGCCTGTGTCCTGGCTCAGTAAAATAGCTTAGTGTAGTTTGGGACTAACCACCCACCTGTGTAGATGCTTGAGACTCAAATTAGGTATAAAAGTTTTTTTTTTTATATAAATAAAATAATAAACAATAAGAGTATAAAAATATGAATACCAAATATAAGAAATATTCTATCAATAATAAAAAAACGTGTTTCACCGTTCAATTCGGCTTCCTCAGTCTTCTAGTTGTGACTTCATGGGTCTCTACTATTTAAATGCTTTCTCTGTTCATTTTTCAACAGCTGTCACTTGTTTGTTTCCTTTTCGCGCTGTATTTGCGGTCCACGCCTCAATACCGGCATGAGTCCGTGAACCGCATGATGTCATTATGTAGGGGTGTAAGTTCGTGGAACGCAGATTCCAGGAGGGAGAGGTGACACAACATCAGGTGGTCCACGAACTTACACCCCTATGTAATGACATCATGCGGTTCACGGACTCATGCCAGACTGCAAATACAGCGCGAAAATGAAGCAAATGAGCGACAGCTGCTGAAGAATGAACAGAGAAAGCATTTAAATAGCGGAGACCCATGCAGTCACAACTAGAAGACTGAGGAAGCCGAATTGAACAGTGAAACACGTTTATTGATAGACTATTTCTTATATTTGGTATTCATATTTTTATACTTTTATTGTTTTTTTTTATATTAATAAAATAATACTTTTATACCTATTTGAGTCTCTTGCATCTACACAGATGGGTCTGTAGTCCCAAACTACACTAAGCTGTTTTACTGAGCCAGGACACAGGCTCTACACTTGTAATGTTGGACATATACCAGTACTGGAATAAAGAGGGTGGAGGTCGCCCATAACAGACCTACAAGCATTCCATACCAGAGCTAGGTCCTCATAGCTCTGGAATATGTGAGTTTTCCAAATTTTCGCCCTTAAACTCTTTTAACGATAACAATATTACACTGTATGCAATTTCTCTTTTAAGGTACGGAAGATACCAATATACTAATTGCAAGATCCCAGTTAAGTGTTACAATATTTTATTGCTTTACAACACAACACTATGTTAATATATAAGCGCTCCACTGTTTTAAACTTTATATTTCATGGGCTTGTGTGTTTGTGGAGAATTACACATTCAGGGTGGAAGCAGCTTGATTTTCAATAACCTGATATACTGTATCTGTATAAACGTTTTCACTGTACAGATTTGTTTCTGTTTTTTAAAACATTATCTACAGAATTTAAGACAACCTCTTTGGATTGAGCATTCCTCATCTTTGTTTCTTTCTTCAAGAACCCTTTTCTTTGCCATAAGCGAGAATGCATATCTTCTAATCAAATTTTCTCTGAAAAAAAAGTAACCTTACATAAGTTTTTTTTTTCTTTTATATATGATTCAATTCTAAATTAATTACTGATTATAATCATGTGAATCCCATTACCAATTAGAAATTTACGAATCAGAAGAGCTTTAGGAAGCACTTTCATTTCTTAAAGTTGATCTTTATTGTTAATAAAATGTATATATTGTTCTACTGGATGACCTTTTATTCCTGCTAATGGACATTCTACATATTTTATTCCTGCTAATGAACATTTTACTGATTTGATGATGCCATAATAGTACGTACCAAACATTTGCTATCCATACACAAGAAGGATTATTATTGCTTTTGTATATATTATTAAACATTGATTGTGCAAATTCCATTAACCCAGGTTTATGGCAATAATCTTTGTAGTCAGCAATAAAGCCCCAAGATCAATATCTGTAAGTTAGCATCCGTGGGTAGAGTAATGTGTATCTTAGTGTAGCTGTCAAAGACACCTGTGTATTTCTGGCAACAATGTTGCTACATAGAGCCAAAATAAAGATAAAGATAATGTGTGATTTTAAAAGCCTGTGCTGTCTGTTCCATCCAGAAAAATTAGGTGACCACAGGCGAATATAAATTAGACTGCTAGCAGCCTGCATAGAGGCAGGGGGTTAATTACTGTCACTGCCAGTCATAATTACATACAATGAGTGTATGAGTGTACAGATACTTTTTTTTTATTATGCAGTAGAGAAAACCACAAAAATCCACTTATGTGATGCAATCCACTACATGATAACTAATAGTATAAGACAATTAATACTATCAAATTGTCACCGTTTACCAGGAGTTGGAGCCCAGGTGCAGGAGATGGCACAAGGAGGAGGCAAAAACCAAAACACAGTACAGATAAAGGGGTAATCCAAAGGTAGGGTCAGACTAGAAGCAGAAGTCAGGGCTGGCAGCAGAGTATATATATATATATATATATATATATATATATATATATATATATACACACATATATACATATACACACACACACACACACACACACACACACACAGTGGCGTACTAAGGGGGGGGGCATTCCTCTATTGGTCCGCGGGTACAGAGAGCAACTGTCTCCTGTACCCTGCAGGACTAACAGGAAGTACACACTGAGTGTGCACTTCCTGTTAGTCCGGCTGGGTACAGGAAACAAAAGCTCCCTGTACCCGCGGACCATATACAGGGCTCGGCCACGCTACAGCAAAGGTGGGGGAGAATAAGGAGAGAATGGGGGGATAAGGAGAGATTGGAATAAGGAGAGATGGGGGGGTGGAATAAGGAGAGATGGGATGGGGGGAATAAGGAGAGATTGGGGGGATAAGGAGAGATTGGGATAAGGAAATTGGGAGGGGGGATATGGGGGGGGATAAGGAGAGATTAGGGAGGGGATAAGGAGAGATTAGGAGGGGGGATAAGGAGAGATTAGGAGGGGGGATAAGGAGAGATTAGGAGGGGGATAAGGAGAGATGGGGAGGGGGGAAGGAAATTGGAGTGGGGATAAAGAAAGAAATTGGGAGGGGGAGAGAGAAGGAAATTGGAGGGGGGAGAGAGAAGGAAATTGGAGGGGGGGGGGAGAGATTGACATTCATCACACACAATGCATTACACACACACACATACACAAGCAATGCAACCGTTACACACAATGCATCCCTTACACACACAGAAACACACAATGCATTCATTACACACACTCAATGCACCCCTTACAATGCATCCCGTACATACACAGAAACACACCTTGCAGCCCTTACACATACAAACACAGATTCACACAATGCATTCCTTACACACATATCAGGACATCCCCTACACACTCCACCCCCTGTGAACAAACTCATTGGTGTAACATGAAGGTGGACCCTGGGACCCAGACCTTGAACTGTGTAAAGGGCCCCCAAAAAATGGAGCTGCTTCCCGTTCTCCCAGAACATTGATTTTTGTGACCACAGTTACAAACCGCCTCCAGAGAGCCTGTTCTGCACCAGACCAGTGGAGCCAGACTGCAGCTAGAGCTCATCATCATCCTCATCTGGTTGTAAGTAGGCAATCTAGTATATTATTCGTGGCACTAATCTCTAATTTACCTCACATTAAAGAAACACTATAGTCCCCAGAACCACTGCAGCTTAATGTAGTGGTTCTGGTGTCTATAGCCTGTCCCTGCAGGCCTTTTAATGTAAACACGGCAGCACTGCAGCACTGGCGTTAGATAACATAGCAAATCATATGGGTGGGGCATTTTGATGTCACATGGGGGGGGGCGGCAAACTTTACTTTTGCCTAGGGCGGCAAAAATCCTTGCACCGGCCATGGCTGGAGGGGGCTGTGTGAGCTGTGGCTGCACAGTGCCCCATGGTAGTTAGGGTGCCGTGCGGAGGAAAAGTGGGGCAGAACTAAGCAAAATCGGAGGCGGAGCCAAACTGGCACTGGGGGCGGGGATTTTGGGGGGGGCAAGGGGGTGCCAAGCACAAGACCCGCCCCGGGTACCAAATGCTCTAGGTATGCCCCTGTATACACACATACCTCTATATCGCAGTTTACCAAGAGTTGGAGCTCAGATGCAGGAGGCAAAAATCAATTGTAGTCAGTAAGGCAGGCAGAGGTTGGAGTCCAGAAAATCAGTCAGCAAAGTAGCAAAGATCCAGCAGGAAAAAACAAACAAACAAAACGACCAGATATCAGGCTTGAGGCAGAGCTGGCTTTTACAGCCTGCTAATTAGAAGCACCTGACCCTAATTGGTAAGGGGCTGCAGGTGGATCAGCACAGCTCCATTCAGGAAAGGAGTCAGGAAGCAGACAAATAGAGGAAGATTCTGAAGCCTCCTGGTGACAGCAAGGTAGAGAACATGACTTTAATGCTGGAGCTGTGAGTTCAAATCCCGCCAGTTTTTTTTTTTTTTTAAAGGGGTGGTCACGTCTTGTTGTCTGCAGGGTTCAGGGTGCACCATGACAGAAATATTTATTAGACAAAAATGTTTTTCATATTTTCTCAGATATTTTTTTGCAAACAACACTGTACAAAGATAGACAAGAGAGAACTTACAATAAAAAAAACCAATATGAAATATTTACAGTCCAAAATATAAAATGTAAAAATAATAAAAAAGTTAAAAAAAAGTCCAAAATATGAAATACAGTGATGATTAAAACGTGACCTTTTAGTAATTGGTTTTCTTTTAGGAATCTTGAGATAATGGTTTCTTTTGAAAATGGTATGACCATAGGAGAAGAAAGAAACTAAACTAGTGCTATATGTCACAATCAGATAATAGGGAATACATTTTCTACTCACATATTATAGAGCTAGTACAAGCTCAGGTGTAACTCGCATTCAGTGGTGTTGATCCCCCACTGCTAGGATGTAGGTGACAACATTTTCAACAAGTTCCTCAAAGTGTTTTGTCCCCCCAAAAAAGCAAGACAAAAATAGTGCCCTCTGTATAAAATTATGTTTACAAATGGTCAATAATAGGGGTTTTATACTCAGTTATCTAGGCGTGGGTGGTATAATGCCCACCAGGGATTCTTTAGTGAGTAGTTCTTCAAAGTACTAGATAACCAGATTAGAATAAAATAATAAAAAAAAGGTATATGGCCAATATCCCTTTAACCCCTTAAGGATGATGCCAAATGTACAAGTTGTGATCAAAACAAAATGTAAACAAACCACAGAATTTGACTCTCTGTCTGTTCAACTATAATTTACCTCTTTCATACTAAGTGCACCCACACTTATTATAAATCGGTTTGTTCAGGTGAAACAGGGCTTTCATTCCATATCAAACATTCATATATAGAACTCCATTTTATATGAATAAAATCTAAAAAAGTTAAAAAAATTAAGAAATTTTTATATTTTTCAATTTCTGCATGTCAATTTAACTGAAAATGTCACAATACTGTTTGGTTTTACTGCAATAAAACATACATATTTGTATTCAGAAATGTCTCATGAGTAAAACAGTACCCATGTATAGGTTTTATGGTGGTTTTGAAAGTTACAGGGTCAAATATACGTCTTGTCTATTTATTTATTTTTTACATAGAAATGTCACAGATTGTTTTGTTGGGCTTAGGTTGCCTTTGAGACCGTATGGCAGCCAAGAAATGTAAGTTACGCCATCATGGCATACCATTTGAAAAAGTACACATCCCAGGGTATTCAAAATGGGGTATGTCCAGTCTTTTGTAGTAGCCACTTGGGCATAAACGCTAGCCAAACTTAGTGTTCATTTTTTTTTTTTTCATTTATCAAATAAAAACGGTACTTTTGCTGATAATATTATTGTCAGTATATAGTTTACTGCCCTGAAACACTCCAAGTTCTGTTCAGTGATGTCTCACAAGCGGCACGGTATGCCCTATGCACAGGTTTTAGGCGGTTTTTGAAAGTTACAGGGTCATATATACGGCTTATCCATTTATGCTTTTTCACAATGAAATTTGTCAGATTAGTTTGCTGTGTCTAGGCTGCCTTTGAGACCGTATGGCAGCCAAGAAATTAAAATTACCCCTTAATGGCATACCATTTGAAAAAGTAAACATCCCAGGGTATTCAAAATGGGGTATAGCCAGTCTTTTGTAGTAGCCACTTGGGCACAAATGCTAGCCAAAGTTAGTGTTCCGTTTTTTTTTTGTGTGTTTTTCACATAAAAACTGTACTTTTACTGATAATATTAACGTCCGTATATAGTATACTGCCCTGAAACCCTCCTAGTTCTGTTCAGTGATGTCTCACAAGCGCCACGGGACGCCTCATGTATAGGTTTTATGAGGTTTTTTAAAGTTACAGGGTCTTATATACGGCTTATCAATTTATGATTTTTCACATTCAAATTTGTCAGATTAGTCTGCTGTGACAAGGCCGCCATTGAGACCGTATGGCAGCCACAAAATGAAATTTACCCCCTTCATGGCATACCATTTGAAAAAGTAGACATCCCAGGGTATTCAAAATGGGGTATGCCCAGTCTTTTGTAGTAGCCACTTGGGCACAAACCCTAGCCAAAGTTAGTGTTTGTGTTTTTTTTTGCATTTTTCACATAAAAACTGTACTTTTACTGATACTTTTATTGTCAGTATGTAGTTTACTGCCCTGAAACACTCCTAGTTCTGTTCATTGATGTCTCACGAGCGCCACAGTACCCCCCATGTATAGGTTTTATGGGGTTTTTGAAAGTTCTAGGGTCTTACATACGCCTGTCCATTTTTGGTTTTAAACATTGAAAATTGGCAAAGCGATTTTCTGGGCCTATCTTGCCTTTGAGAAAGCATGGCAGCCTGGGTAAAATTATTTTCACTATTACGGCATACCATTTTCAAAAGTAGGCAACCCAGAGTATTTCAAATGGTGCATTTTAAGATGTTTGGTCTAACCACTTTATAAGAAATGAAGGGCCCACCTAGCGGTAATAGATTTATTTGTGCTTTTTTCCACACATGAAATCACTTTTCACAGGACATTTCCTATTCCTGGTATGAGTTATTGCAACAAAGCCTCACTATTTTATTTTAACATTGTCGCGTGAATATAACAGTACCCCCATGTACCAGATTTTCTGTTTTTTGGGGGAAGACACAGGGACAAATATATTAGATGTCCATTTCAAAACTGGAAATTTGGCAAAGTGATTTTCTGGGCCTATCTCGCCATTGAGAGAGCATGGCAGCCTGGGTAATAACATTTCCACTATTATGGCATACCATTTTCAAAAGTAGGCAACCCAGAGTATAACAAATGGCATAATTTTAGATGTTTGGTCTAACCATATTATCAGAAATGAAGGGCCCACATAGTGGTTATTGTTTTATTTGTTCTTTTTTACACACATGTACTCACTTTTCACAGGACATTTCTTATTCCTGGTATGAGTTATTGCAACAAAGACTCACTATTTTTTTTTTAACATTGTCTCCTGAATATAACAGTACCCCCATGTACCAGATTTTCTGTTTTTTTGGGAAAGTCAAAGGGACAAATATATTAGATGTCCATTTCAAAATTGGAAATTTGGCAAACTGATTTTCTGGGCCTATCTCGCCTTTGAGAGAGCATGGCAGCCTGGGTAATAACATTTCCACTATTATGGCATACCATTTTCAAAAGTAGGCAAGCCAGAGTACAACAAAATGCTTAACAGAAATGCTGGGCCCTTGTAACGATACCTTCTTTTAGTTTTGTCTTTTTAATCGCATAAATTGCATTTTCACTAGAAATGTTGTAATCCTAGTATTAGTTAGTGCACTAAAACCTCAGTATTTCGATTTAATACTGTCTTCTGAATATAACGGTACCCCCACGTATCATTATTTTAGATTTTTTCCGATAAGTACAGGGCAAAATATATTAGATGCCCTTTTAGCCTGAAAGTTTGGTAAAGTTTTACAGAAATGCTGGGCCCATGTAGCGATACCTACTTTTAGTTTTGTCTTTTTAATCACATAAATTGCATTTTCACTAGAAATGTCATAATTCTGGTATTAGTTAGTGCACTAAAACCTCAGTATTTTGATTTAACACGGTCTTCTGAATAGAACAGTACCCACATGTACAATGTTTCAAGGTTTTTATTATATCACAGGAATAGAACAGTACCTCCACATACACTTTGATCTGGAGGCAGAGAGAGGCAGAGAGATGTTTTATCTCACATAGAGAGTTACTGTGTGAAAAGCTGAGAAGTTAAGAAAAAAAAACCTGTGATTTTATTAACCCTTTCAGTGCTAATCGCAGCATTAACCCTGTGATTAGTTTTTTGCTTTTTATTGTGAAGGCACATTTCAAATACTACAATTGTAGTATTTTGAGTTGTTTGGTGTAGCCACTTTAAAATGGCTATCGTAAACAGGGACAGGCTAAAGTCAGGGGAATCCAGAAGTTAGAGTAGTTGGTAAAACAAGCCAATGGGTCGTTAAGGGCATCTAACAAAGCGTAGTCAGGCCAAGCCGA